AATATCTAGAATCTGTAAATAGGAGACTACAGGGAACCAAGTTGACACAAATGTGGAGTGGTGTGGGGTATCTGATTGTGCACACCTGAGCGAAACAGCAATTTTTGCCATGACCAGGTGTTCCCATATATCTGTTTGATTTTATTTATTCTATTTTTGCCCTACTCTTCCTCCAAAGGACTCAAAACAGTCACATGTCTTTTTCTTTCCCATTTTATCCCTACAGTAACCCTGTGATTATTGATCTGTCTTCTTCAGTCTATCTTGTAGGGGATGCCAGGTTGCCCACTCTGGTGGGTCAGCTCCCACTCTAGGCCTCTAAACCCTGTTGCCACTCAATTGGGCAGCTGGGGGAAATGGGTTGGCTGTAATAGTGTCCTTTGAAGGTGCAACATCCCTTCTGGACACATAACTATAGAATCCTAGAGTGCCTCGTAGGGTTGCCAGGTCCCTCTACCTGGCATCCAGCCGGGGGGGGGGACTGTTTGTCTGGGAGAGGTGCACACATGCTGCAATGACGTTACCTAGAAGTGACATCATCATGCCGAGCACGTCATCAAGGGATGCTCTAGTGTTCGGACTTAAAACTCTATGGTACCATAGAGTTTTAAACCCGAATGCTAGAGTGTCCCCCGGCGACGTACCCAGCACGATGACGTCACCTCTGGGTGAAATTAGCGCGCTGGGCACATCAGCCCAATTCAGGTGCTTGGGGGGGGGAGTTCCCCCTGGCGACTGAATCCAGGCTGGCGGGTTAGGGGCCCTAACCACCTAACCCAAACCCCCGCCCCCCGGGGGGACCTGGCAGCCTTAGTGCCTCATGATGACACAGTGACATCATTTCCAGTTATGCAGACAGAAGGGCTGGCATGATATCATAAGAACATAAGAGATGCCAATGTTGGATCAGGCCAAAGGCCCATCCAGTCCCCCACAAAGCACCTGAATTGGGCCAATGTGCCCAGTGCGATGATGTCACCCAGGGATGACATCATCGTGCTGGGTACGTCGCCGGGGGACACTCTAGCATTCGGGTTTAAAACTCTATGGTACCATAGAGTTTTAAACCCGAATGCTAGAGTGTCCCCCGGCGACGTACCCAGCACGATGATGTCATCCCTGGGTGACATCATCGCACTGGGCACATTGGCCCAATTCAGGTGCTTTGTGGGGGGAATTCCCCCTGGCGACTGAATCCAGGCTGGCGGGTTAGGGGCCCTAACCCCCTAACCCAAACCCCTGCCCCCCAGGGGGACCTGGCAGCCTTAGTGCCTCATGATGACACAGTGACATCATTTCCAGTTATGCAGACAGAAGTGCTGTCATGATATCATGGGATGCCTTCTGTGTAAGTCCTGCCCCCTCAGTCTCCTGGAGTTCTGGAGAACTCAAACATTTGCATTAGCATCATGCATGTGTAACACAAATATCACAAGAGGTTCAAAAGGCATAGTTACCAGCTGTACACATTTAGTGGGTATTTAGTAGGTGGTTACTGGCAGTACTACTTAACATAATTAGGCTCATTGGCAGTTCGGCTTTTAACAGATTGCCAAAACGGTTTAACAATCATGTCTAGGACAGGGGTGGCCAAACTGCGGCTCGGGAGCCACATGCAGCTCTTCACACATATTGTGCGGCTCTCAGCAGGGCGGCTGGGAAAGTGAAGGGGAGGCGTGTCTCCCTGATCGGTCTTCCCATCCTGGGTAGGCTTGAGGTGGTGGTGGGGGAGCAGAGAAAGAAAGCAACTTTAACTTTAAATGCGTTCTCAAAGCCCCCCGTCAAGCCTACAAATGTCATTGGACAAACAAAAATCATTATCAATATCTGTTTTTACCCCTTTTGTTTTTATTTTTGGCAGTCTCATTTAATGTTAATGAGAAGCAAATCTGCATATTTTCCAATAAAAACATGTGTGTAATATTTGTTCATGGCACGTGGCTCTCAAACATCTGACATTTATTCCATGTGGCTCTTACGTTAAGCAAGTTTGGCCACCCCTGGTCTAGGACTAGACTGGGACTTTAGAACAGTCACGTAACAACAACAAGCTGAGCTCCTGTAGCTCTGCCAGCACTGCAGGGTCTGCTTGGCTTAGGCCTGAGCCATAGGGTGAGCCTTAGAGTTGCCAACTCCTGATTGGGAAATGCCTGGAGATTTTGGGAGTGCAGCCTGGGGAGAGGAGGGACTGCCTCCCATGGTAGCCATTTTGTGGCTGTGTCCACCATAGGCTTGCTATGGTTTTCCCTTGAATGGTCGTGGCCCCGCCCCCAGCGTGCCCAGCGTTGTCACGTCACTTCCTGGTGACGTGGATGCGGCGCTCGTGCTCCGGGATCGGCCCGGGAGTCCCCCGCTCCAGAACAAGGTGAGACTTGGCAACCCTAGTCCACCATGCCGTGTCAGAATTCCAAAAGTGTCCGCAGACTCAAAAAGGTTGGGGAACCTTGCCTTGATTTCATGGCCTGAAACATCTCTCCCCTCATTTCTTGTTTTTGGCTATCCAGTTTGATGAAGAGTTCTGTTGCACATTGTTTTGTGTTATTTGGTTCTAACATCACTTTCTGACTTGGGTTTTTTCCAGTGAGTCGCCGGGGCGACCTCCAATCTCTTTCTTCCAGAAGTTATTTTAAATGAATAGCTAACCCTGTTCTCTAACAGAACAAATTTGTTTATGGAGGGCTGAATTGTTCTCTCTCTCTCTGTAACTATCAAAAGAGATTAGAGTATGTACATACATTTATAAGATTAATTGATTCAGTTGTCTGGATTCCCTCCAAAAGACAGATCAAAGGGTCTCTAATGCTTTGGGTTACCAGCTCCAGGTTGGGAAATTCTTGTAGATTTTGGGTTAGAGCCTGGAGAGGGCCTTCAGCAGGGAGGTGATGCCATAGAGCCCACCAGAGGTCATTTCGAGGGGGATCGCAGTTCCCCCGGGTGAGGTACGGGGGGCGGGGCACATGACAAAGCCCCGCCCCCTGATTCCAGCCGCCCCGCTTCCGGCCCTCATTCAGCCAGGAGGAGGCAGGAGAAGAGGGAGTGTAAGTTGCTTCCTCCCACCAGTACAATAGAAGACAAGTCAGGGGGTGTGGCCTTATGACACACTTCCGGTGATGTCAGTGGTGTGGCATATGCTAATGAGTTATGCTAATGAGTTCCCCTAGCTCTTTTCTACGAAACGACCCCTGGAGCCCACCCTCCAAAGCAGCCATTTTCTTCAGGGGAACTGATCTCTGGAGTCTGCAGATCAATTGTAATTCTGGGTGATCGCCAGGCCCCACCTGGAGGTCGGCAACCTTACAACATGCATACAGTAATGTTGATGTATGTCTTCATTTAGAACTAGGGTTGACAGGTCCGACTTGGGAAATATCTGGGGACTTTGGGGGTGGAGCCAGGAGACTTTGGGAGTAGTGTTCCCTCTAAGATGAATTAGTGTGAGCTAACTCAGTTTTCTAGCCTCCGGCTCACACATTTTTGTCTTAGCTCAGGAAGGAGGGCTCCAGAGCAGACTACTTTATGCAGTAGCCAAATCACTCACTCACAACTTTAATGCCAGTAGCTCACAAAGTAGAATTTTTGCTTGCAAGACGCCACAGCTTAGAGGGAGCATTGCTTGGGATGCCAGGAGCAAGGATGTGACACTTTTGTGATGTCACTAGGGTTGGTGTGTGTCATGTGTGAGTTGAAAAATTATGATGTCTGGGGTGTAGGCTTGCCAAGTCCCCCGGGGGGGGCGGGGAAACCCCCGCCCCAGAGGCCCATTCCCTGCTGCCGGCGGATCGGGCCCCGGGGGGAACCCCACCCCAACGTGCACGTCACCCGGAAGTGACGTGACAATGCCGGGCACGCTGGGAGCAGGGCCACAATCATCCGAGGGAAAACTCTATGGTTTTCCCTCGGATGGCCGTGGCCCCGCCCCCAGCGTGCCTAGCGTCGTCACGTCACTTCCGGTTTTTTGCACTTTCTGCAAACCCCATTTCAAATGGGGTTTGTGGGGCCATGAACCACATACCATCTAAGTTCACTTTGTGGTTCAGTTTGTGGTTTGGCCACAAGCCATGGTTTTTCCACACAAACCAGATTTTTCCAGTTTGTGCCCATCCCTAATCAGAGCAACGCTGATTTTCCCCAGCATTTCTTCCCACTGCCCTATTGAGTGACAGTGAGGCTGATAACCCAGTTTACACAGGAGACTTCTTGTCTGCCTGTGTCATGTTTAAGTTGTGCCAATTCAAAATGACTGTATCTTAATACCCTTCTGGAGAAACCAGTCCCAGTTTGGTGTCTACTGGAACTTGCCCTCAGACTTTGGGCCTCTGCTGAGGGGCATTCAGGGGCTTCATTTTCATGCCCTTCCCTTGTCCTTCAAAGCTTTGTTTGACGCAGCCAAGGTGATGGCAGTATGAGCATTCGTATTCTGAACAGCTGTTGTAAAAGGTCACAGATATTTTGGAAGCCTCTTCAGGGCTATTGTCTCTCGGTGTCTCATTTGAATCCACTCCCAGCTGTATCTTTAAATAACCTTGAGCAGTCTGAGGTGGCATCCAAACCGGGACTCCTTTTTCCTTCCTGCGTACAGCTCCCCATGGGATTCACTGCTGTGCCAGGCAAGTTTACCAATGGAAACTTTCTGAAACATTCTCTGACAATCAAGTCCCATTTTCATGAGCCCCAAAGTTATCTTCTATGACATTTCTCTTCTGGCATCCAGGAAGCAAGTCCAAGTTAATGTGTTTGTCTGGCAAACTGACGTTAAAAACTTTATGACCGCTCATTTCTATGCAAACTTTGTTATCTTCCCCTTCCTTGCTTGCCTCTGAGCTGGCATACCACACGTGGCAGGCAATGCTTGTTCTTATGTTCTAAATCAATCAGATATACAGATTGATCGGTGTTACCGCTTGAAAGAACCGCATGGCCCTGATGAAATTAGCCTGTATTAGAGTAAAGGAAAGAGGGAAGGCTGCAGGGTGTATAGCTGGATCTCATCAGTTCTCGGAAGCTGAGCAGGGTCAGTTCTTGGAAGGAAGACGTCTGCAGAGGAAGGCAATGGCAGACTACTTCGGCTTCTCACTTGCCTTGAAAGCCCCTCACTGGGGTTGCCATAAATCGGCTGTGGCTTGATGGCACTTCACACACACACACGAAAGAAAAGAGTTGAGCTGTGCTATCCTAAACAGAGTTAACAATGATCCAAACTCGCTGATTTCAGAGGGCTTAGAAGGAAGGGTGTAACTCTGTTTAGGACTGGAGTGTTCAACTAGCAGCAGTAGAGTAGGGTGCGAGCCATGGCTGTTCCCCTGTCATTGCCACCACTAATGCGGAGACATTTGCACTGGCAACAGAGGATCCGCGTGGGAGTTTTGATGTGGGCTTTTCTCTGTTAGCTATCTTCCCCCTGCGTTCCCCCCCTTGGACAAATTGCACCGCCACAGGGCTTTTAACAACAACAATTAATCACTGCCGCGCTATAGCACAATAACGTTATAATGGTCTATTGCCACAGTCTACGAGCAACTAAGTTATATTACTAATGACAAGATAGCATGGGAAAGAAGAGAATGTTGTAAGCCACACTGGCTCCCCCTTGGGGAGAAAGATAGAGTCGAAATGAAGTAAATAAAACATAATACTATTCACACAGAGCATTTCAAGCATTCACAGAGGCTCCAAGCGATTAGCCCAGTAATCCTTATGATAATCCTGTGAAAGGTTCATTGGTATTGCTGACCTTTTATTGTAGGGGGGATGTGGCCGAGGCTGAGACAAGTCAGTTGATTTTGGCCATCTAGGGAACAATCCTAAGCAGGTCTATTCGGGCTCAAGTCTCATTTTAGTCAGTGGGGCTTACTCCCAGGAAAACGTTGTTAAGATCGCAGCCCCAGTGACTTTGTGGATGAAGGTCTTTCTGGTTTACAGTTTCTCAGTAGTTGAGATGGGGGCAGCCATTTCTATTTTGGTCTTGGTCTGCTCCCCTCATGATAAAAAAAAAAGTGAGGGGAAAGAAGGGTGTGAGTGAGGGGAGCGTCTCTGACATACTTTGCCCCTCAGCCTAGCACCTTTCTGGTACCAGGGCAGGGCCTGGAGAGGAGTGCTTTTACCAATGTGAGGTAGGCCAGGACAGGGTTTCCTCCCCAAACCCACACACTCCCGTTTTCTGTAGAAAATAGACCGCTGTTCCCTTCTTTGTACCTGAATGGAGCAAAGACATGAAGCAAATATTTAACAGCTCCATCACATCTAGTTTGGCCCTTAGCTGGTGTGCACCCAAGATGGTAAGAACAGCTGACAAAGTAGGCACACGTTTTCCCAAACTATTCTTCTGCCTCAAATCCATGCACCATTTTTTTTTAAAAAAAGCTAAAAAGCTCTGTCAGTTGATTTTGATTATTCTGCCTCAAATCCATGCACCATTTTTTTTAAAGCTAAAAAGCTCTCTCAGTTGATTTTGATTACTTCCCATCTCTAGTTCCAGCTCCTGCCAACCTAGCAGTTTGAAAGCAAGAAATTGCAAGTAGATAAATAGGTACCACTTCGGTGGGAAGGTAACAGCGTTCCTTGGTGTTTAGTCATGCCGGCCACATGACCACGGAAACGTCTTCGGACAGCGCTGGCTCTTCGGCTTTGAAATGGAGATGAGCACCACAACCCTAGAGTTGGATTCGACTGGCTTTCGAGCAAGGGAAACCTTTACCTTTACCTTTACTATAAGAACTGATGGCTTGTTGCCTGAACAGGTGTCAAGTATCAGTCCGAGGTTTCAGAGTTCAAGAGTCACTCCTGAAAGTATCTGAAATGGAGAAACGGTTTTCAAACAGCCCAGTCCCCTTCTCCTATAGCAGCATCGGTACACAGGCTGCCTGTGTGGGTGGGGCAGGTCCTGAGCCTTAGTCTGAGGCGGAACAATCAAATATGAAAGCATCTGGAGAGTGCCTGGTCGAAACGACAACTTTGAGATGCTACAGAAGTTTAAATGTCTTAAAATGAGTGCGGGAGCTCACGTCTTGTCCGCAAGCCTGACTCTCAGAAGCATATGAGATAGACAGTTACACAATACAAAGGGACACAGCACCGCCCCTCAGTCACCCATTCATGCTCAAAATAAGCGTTCACTTCTTAGTATTGATCTGATTGTTCTAAGGCCCAGGGGCCAAGCCCTGCTAAGTCTTGGTTCAATTAATTGGTCCCTGGTATTAGAGGTGCTAAAGGTTTGGGGGAAGACTGTGAATGAGTTTTGAGGAGATGAGTTGCGGGGACCAGGAAATAAAAGGGGGGGAATAGAATCAGGTTAGAGATGCGACTTGTACGGAGAGGAGGCTTAAAGAGGGAGGTCAACGTTTAGAAGAGAACGTTAGTTTTGCAAATTCACACACGGTTAGAGCAAGCACAGTCGTGTGCCTTTATAACAATATCACAGATTATCTCAGCACCCTTTCAGTCCAAATGCATGCTCCTGCCTGCCAATTACACAGAGTGAAAAATCTCCCCAGAAACACTGCAGGTTCCCCAAACGTTTGTCTCACCTCGAGACGGACAGGTCAGAGATCCCTCTCTCCCTTAGCAGGCGCTGGTTGCTCCAGAGGCCAGGGTAGGGGCTGTGAGTCCTTATAATGAGGTAACCAGACACCTCCCCCCCCAACATTTGCATGTGAGGGGATTTGTTGAGAGGAGAGTGACACAAATGTGAGTTCATCTGCACATTCCCGGGACAGAATGTTCACTTTTATAGCGAGTGAGAGAAGGACTGAGGGATGGTCCCCAAAATGGTATTCAAGATGAATGGGGCCGTGTTTCAATGAGACCCCAGTAGCTGACTTGTAGTAAAAACTGCTCCCATCAGCAGTACACTCATTTCAAGAGTGTAACTTGAAAGCAGTGAAGTCCTAAGAGTGGGAAAGAAATTATTGTTTTCTTTTCGTGGAACAAGAACAGGAATTTTGTCAGTCTATGGCTCCCATGTTTTAATGTATTGCCTTCTGCCCTACTTCATGGGAGGTTTCAAAAGATTCCATATGCGCAAAGGGTATGCGACTGTGGCAGGAATGAAGGAGAAAGTATTGAGCATGTCTTTTTGCACTGTGCCTGCTGTTCTGACATCCGTACTATAGATTGGTTATTATTGGATCTAATAGGCCAATCTGATGAACATAAGACCCTCATTCTTCTTTCCACCCAAAGTGCTGTAATTATTGAAACGGTGGCGAATTTTCTGTATTTGGCATCTAAAAGGAGAGGTATGTATTAGGTTTTCATTGTCTTCCTGTTTGTTTTTTCTTTAATCTGGTATGCCAATAGGCTTGCCAATCTTCAGTGATGCTTTCCACAACCAAATAAGCCCATTTGATTTTTTTAATAAGAATAATCACACAATGTGTGTGGAACTAATGAGCCGCCTAGAACTATAGATCTGTCTGAAGAATAACCACATGCATTGTCTGAAACTGAGGGGCTTAGGGTTGCCAGCTCTGGGCTGGGAATTACCTGGAGATTTTGGGACTGGAGCCTGGGGTAGGGTTGCCAAGTCCAAATCTACTTACGGCGGGGGAGTCCTGCGCCGTCCCGGGAGTCTGTGCGTGCGTGGAAAGCACGTGCGCTGCCACAATGACGCCCCCCGGAAGTGACGTCATCGAGTCGGCACATTGGGGGCGGGGCCACTAGGATTCAAGGGAAAACTATAGAGTTTTCCCTCAAATCATAGAGTGTCCAGCCCCCAACATGGCCACCGTGATGATGTCACCTCTGCGTGACATCATCACACTGGGGACGTGTGCCGGAACAGGGTGGAGTTCCCCCCAGGGCCCGATTTGCTGGCGTCGCGTAATGGGCCTCTCGGGCGGGGGTTTACCCGCCTCCCGGGGGGACTTGGCAAGCCTAGCCTGGGGAGTGTAGGGTTTGGGGAGGGGAGAGACCTCAGCAGGATATAACGCCGTAGACCCTAACCCTCCAAAGCAGCCATTTTCTCCAGGGGAACTGATCTTGGTCGTCTGGAGATCAACTGTAAATAGCAGGTCGTGGCCCCGCCCCAGAGTGCCCGGCATGGTCACATCACTTCCGGGTGATGTGGTCGCGGCGTGTGCGCTCCAGGAAGAAGCTGGGAGTCCCCCGCTCCGACAGCAGGTAAGATTTGGCAACCCTATATGCCAATAAAGGTTGTTGTTGTTGGCTGCCATGTTAGGCTGGCTCATGCAAGCACAACTCTGTGAGAGCATGGTCTCTTTCCCCTCTGACTTGCTAACTGGTTGCTGGTTCTTGATGCTGGAAATGAATAACCTCTGCACATTCTCTTCTGCCCCCCACCCCCACCTACTGGTCCCACTGCACTTTCGGAGATCATGGTTGTATGAAAGTAGGGTTGGCAGGTCCGCTCCTCGCTCCAGTGGGGGGATTTGGAGGGTGTTCTGGGGTGGGCGGAGGCCCCAAGTGTGACCACCCACCTGGCCACCCCTCTCCCTCCCCTCCTGCCAGATTTAAAGGGCTTCAGCTGATTGGCGGGGACCACGTGTCCCACCAGTCAGCTGGAGAGCCCTTTAGCAGGAGGGAGAGAGGGGGTGGTCATGGACTGCATGCTTGGCTCACAAAAAGACCCTTTAAAGACCATATCCTCAAAAAACAGGATCACGAAATTGCGGGGGAAATCGGGCGAAGCCGCGCGTCAAAATGCAGCCCCGCAGCTTTGGGTGTGAAATTGACCAATAGTATCGGGGCAAACGGCGGAGCAACATCAAGGCAGCTCTAGTGCAAAATCAGCCTCTGTGTCACACAGTGGCCAAAAATACCAGGTGCCATCAGGAGGTCCATCAGTGGGGCCACGACACTAGAAGCCCTCCCACTGGTGCCCCCCCCCCTCCAAGCCAGGGTTACTATGCAGAGACAGGCAATGGCAAACCACCCGCTTATCATTTATTTATTTATTGGATTTCTGAATTGCTCTCGATGATTTACAATGAGTTAAAACATTGCCTTGAAAACTCTGTGGGGATGTCATAAGCCAGCTGTGCTTCAGTGATGCTTTCCACAACCTAATAAGCCCATTTGATTTTTTTATAAGAATAATCACACATTGTGTGTGGAACTAATGAGCCGCCTAGAACTATAGATCTGTCTGAAGAATAACCACATGCATTGTCTGAAACTGAGGGGCTTAGGGTTGCCAGCTCTGGGCTGGGAATTACCTGGAGATTTTGGGACTGGAGCCTGGGGTAGGGTTGCCAAGTCCAAATCTACTTACGGCGGGGGGGGCCTGCGCCGTCCCGGGAGGCTGTGCGTGGACCGGGAGTCTGTGCGTGCACGGAAAGCGCGCTCGCTGCCACAATGATGCCCCCCAGAAGTGACGTCATCGCGTCGGCACGTTGGGGGCGGGGCCACTAGGATTCAAGGGAAAACCATAGAGTTTTCCCTCAAATCATAGAGTGTCCCACCCCCAAAGTGGCCACCGTGATGATGTCACCTCTTGGTGACATCATCACACTGGGGACGTGTGCCGGAACAGGGTGGAGTTCCCCCCGGGGCCCGATTTGTTGGCGTCGGGTAATGGGCCTCTCAGGCGGGGGTTTACCCGCCTCCCGGGGGGACTTGGCAAGCCTAGCCTGGGGAGTGTAGGGTTTGGGGAGGGGAGAGACCTCAGCAGGATATAATGCCGTAGACCCTAACCCTCCAAAGCAGCCATTTTCTCCAGGGGAACTGATCTTGGTCGTCTGGAGATCAACTGTAAATAGCAGGAGATCTCCAGTTGCCACCTGGAGGTTAGCAACCCCAGTGGGGGCTGCCATCTCAAATTTGTTTTCCTGCTCTTTTAGGCACCCCGTCCATGTCTCTGGCGGCTGGGGACCCTGATTCTACCTTGGGGTTAGTGTCCCTGAGTCACAGTGCCCTGATCAGGGGTCGTTTAGTAGAAAAAGAGCTAGGGGAACTCATTAGCATAACTCATTAGCATATGCCACAACCCCTGACATCACCGGAAGTGTATTAGCATAACTCATTAGCATAGGCCACACACCCCGCCCCCAACGGTCCCGGCCGCTGCCGCCGGCCTTGCAGCTCCACTGCCAAGCCCCAT